AACTACCAGTAATGGTTTGATTGTTTTGAATACATTTTAGACAACATCCTTGTTGCAGAAACTGCTCCTCTCTGTGCAGTTTCTGAGATTGTGCATGCGAGTCCAGAGAAGGCCATGGAGATGCTCCAAGGGCTGAAGCACCTCTGCTATGGAGACAGGCTGAGAGAGCTGGGCTTGTTCAGCCTGGAGAAGGGTCAGCCTTCCAGTGCCTAAAGGCGCTACAAGAAGTCTGGAGAGGGGCTTTTGACAAGGGCATGTAGAGACATGACAAAGGGGAATGGCTTTAACCTGCCAGAGGGGAGACTGAGATGAGCTCTTAGGCAGAAGTTCTTCCCTGTGAGGGTGCTGAGGTGCTGGCACAGGGTGCCCAGAGAAGCTGTGGCTGCCTCATCCCTGGCAGTGTTCAAGGCCAGGTTGGATGGGGCTTGGAGCAACCTGCTCTAGTGGAAGGTGTCCCTGCCCATGGCAGGGTGTTGGAACTGGGTGAGCTTTAAGGTCCCTTCAGTCCAAACCAGTCTGGGATTCTGTGATTCTATAATATATATAGACTATGGTTTATTTCACATGAGTTTTGATAATTTGTTACCCAACGCATTTGCCATCTTGTTTCCAGCTACTCACAGTCCATGAGGTATGTCACTAATGGCCAGATTTTCAGTTTATCTCCTCCATAGAGGAACTTCTCTGAAAATCTGGTAACTGATTTCATATTTATGTTGAAATTTCAGCTTTTCTGAAACGGTAAGGTTTAACCTCCATGCTCTCTATTTTCAAGGGTATTTAGACCTGAAAACTTTTTGAATGACAAGCTGATAAGCACTAATGAGGACAGCTGTTAGTGTGCCTCATTATGTTGTGACCCTCTGCAGGGAAGATGCTGAGTACCTAGTGGCAGGTGAGACTTTCTCCTGGCATGGCAGCGTCTGGAAGTGAGTAGTGATTCACACTGATTACCTGCTATTGGTTTGACTTCCTTCGAACATCCGTAGTGGGTGGAGTAGAGAGCAACTGAAGATGTATTGGAGTAAGTGAAATGTGCCTACAGGTATCCACAGTTTAAAATGTATCCACTTCTTATGCTCTGTGCACTTTTGTGTTTTTACTGCTAAACTACTACCAGTAACAAATCAGAATGCAATCTGCATGTGGAGGTGGCTGATCAATCCAGCATGACTCTGTGTCCTGGTTTAGGCATGTGGTCAGGCAACTTGTTCACTCACTGCCCCCCATTTCTTTCCCTCCCCCCTACTCCTGAAGGGACAGAGAGGAGAATCGAAAAGAATGCAACTCCCACAGGTTGAGATAAGAACAGTTTAGTAACTAAGGTATAACACAAATCACTACTGCTGCCACCAATAATAATAATAATAAAGGAAATAATAGGGGAAGAAAATACAACACCTCAGCACCAGCCCCACCCCACCAGACCAAGCACCCACCAATACCTCCTCCAACCCTGTAGTCCTAGCCCTTCCAGGTAACTCTCAGTTACCTCCTGGGCATGATGTGCTGTGGTATGGAATACCTCTTTGGTCAGTTTGGGTCAGGTGTCCTGTCTCTGCTTCCTCCCAGCCTCCCCTCCTCCCTGGCAGAGCATGAGGCTCACAAAGTCCTTGGCCAAACCAAAACATCATTGTTATCAGCTCTGTTCCCAGGCAGAAAGTCAAAACACAGCACTGCACCAGCTACCAAGAAGGAGAAAAATGACTGCTACTGCTGAACCCAGGACACTCTGACAAGAGCCCTGTGGCACAGTATTTCTTATGGCCCACCAAGGAAAAAAGCCCAAATCACCTGGATCTTTTTGGTCAAAAAAGGCATTTAGGGTCATTTTTAGACCCTCATGAGTCACACCATTGACAATAAATTTAATTACTCCTAATGTAATTCTGTGTAACTGATAGAATTTTAATTAAAATAATTTGGGTACAAAGAGCTGTTTCAGGTTCCAGGAGTTCTGAACTTACCATGTAGCTGCATAAAATAAAATAGTATTTGTTCAAAATGCTGCTTACTCAAACCTCAGGATCCTCAATGAATATAGTTTAGCCATATTTAATACTTAAAATGTGTAGATACACTGTGCTTCTGTGGTAGTTTCAAAGTATCTGAAGATCTTCAAAGACTTTACAGATGCTTAGGAGAAATTAGCTTTGAGTTATAATTGGGGCCTTCCTTTTCCTCACTTGAAATTCAGCTCAGCAGAGAGAGCATAATGGTTCTTTCACATTAGTTGTAACCCAAAACTATTCTCTAAGAAACTTCTTAGTAGTTTGGAAGAGAGCACATACCGAGGTGAGCAGCTGTGGAAAGCTGCAGAGGGTAGAAGTAATTCATAGTCCGTACAGATTATACAGCCAAGCCCATCATTCTGTGACCTCTCTGAACATGACCTACTGATTAGAAGCAGACTGGCATTTTTTTTTAATTGGATTTTATATCTATTCAAGCTGTGTTTCTCATTGCCCTTACTTTTTTACTTCCAGAATCATAGAATAGTTAGGGTTGGAAAGGATGTTAAGATCATCTAGTTTCAACTCCCTGCCACGAGCAGAAATCTGAGTTTCCTCTAAATTTACCTGCCATCACTTCAAGGTACCTGCAAGCTGTAGCATTTGATATGTTCTTTCTAAGAAAAAAAGGACTCCTTCTGCTTTTCTTGATCTGTAATTGAGAGAGTACTTAGAAAATATCCCAGATCCACTCTATGTTTTCCTCTTTGGGTATGCTACCTTTTTAGAGAACCTCAATATCAAAACACAGTATACACTTGAGGCATCCAAGGACTGAACCTTCAGGCCTGTAATTTTAGCTGTGTGATGGGTAATTGAGAACAGTTAGTGGGTAAGCACTGGGTAAGTCCAATGGCTACTCAGCAGAATATTTCACTAGTCACAACCTCTTCTATGTTGATATAACCGAATGTGTGGCAAACACTGTAATTTACATCATGACTGCCTGGCATTTGGCTTCAAGCACATTCCAAGGAGCAGAACAGCACCTCAGGTTACACACCAGTGGTATCAGGAACTGGCTTCTCTAGAAGCGTTAGGCATGTCTGTACCTATCTCCCTACTTACACTCTTAGTCATTGCTGTGTTTTGGGCTGACTGAAGAACAGGCAATCCAATAGTGGTCAGCATCTCCAAAATGCTTCCTGGGCAGCCAGGTTAGTGTTCAAACTAAGCCATGCTCCCTTGTGTCACTGAATGCCCTCTTAAATAGCCCCTCTCCAGATCTCTTGTATCCCCTTTAGGCACTGGAGCTGCTCTAAGGCCTCTCCTTAAGGAGACTTCTCCAAGCTGAACCAGCTCAGCTCTCTCAGTCTGGCTCCAGCCAGGAGATCCAGCCCTTGTAGCATCTCTGTGGCCTCCTCTGGACTTGCTCCAACAGCTCCACGTCCCTCTTGTGTTGTCGCCTCAGAGCTGGACACAGGACTGCAGGGGGGTCTCACCAGAGCAGACTAGGGGGAGGATCCCCACCCTCAGCCTGATGGCCACACTCCATTTTATGCAGCCCAGCACAAAGTTGAGTACAAAACTGTATAAATATTAAAGAGTCCAAGGAGTTGTTTTGAAAATGTAGAATTCCTAAATAAATGGGCAAAACCCAAAGGCTGTGTCACCACCTGGCAAAAAGAAGTGCCAGATGCAGGGCAAGCTTTGTGTTGGTTGTGTCAACATACTCCAGTGGTTACCTGTGTGTTCTCCTTAAGAAAATAGAGCGTGTCCATACAAACTAACATCAAAAAAAGCTATTTCAATCTAGGCAACTGCCAGACAGTCTACATGTCTTGTTTAAAGGATGCTTTGCAGGGCTGATCTGGGACCTGTAGCATGACTGTTGTTGGATCTGTAGCAGCAAATCTGGTTATCTTCAAATAGCTGCCTGAGTTGCCAACTTTTTTCACTGGTTAGGTCACAGAGCAGCCAGCATCTCCTAGCAATACATCAGTGTTACACAAGAGTGTTTATGAAAGCACTTTAAAACACTTTGATTGGCTGCATCCCTTCTGCTGCAGGGTGATTGTGTTAGTGTGCTGGTGGCTGTGCAAAGAACGGGGAGCTGGGCTTGTGGGACAAGATGCTCAGGTTCGATCGCTGCATCACACCCTCAATGGTTTCTTGTTGCAAGTGGTCCACCTGAGTGGAGTTTATGCTTGTTCTATAATTTATGAATAACAAGATCTTATCATAGAATCCCAGACTGGTTTGGGTTGGAAGTGACCTTAGATCTCATCCAGTTCCAACCCCCTGCCATGGGCAGGGAAGCCTTCCACTAGAGCAGGTTGCTCCAAGTCCCATCCAACCTAGCCTTGAACACTTCCAGGGGACAATAAATCCAAGTTCCTCCTCACCAAGGTCAAAAGGGAGAAGGGGAGAGCTGGCTGGCTGGGGCTGTGATGCCTCATGGATGTTGGTGCCTCACTGCGTGCTTCTCAGGTCATTTTCTCCATCTCTTTTGCACAGTTTCTCTGACAGGCTGTTGCAAATACCTGTGACTGCTGCTCACCGAGCAGCAGATGTCAATGCCACCTTGTTACCTTTGGAGTTGTGATTTTAAAATGGCACATTTGCGATGGGATTTTTAAACCTACAGCTATTCCAAACTGCGCAGGGAGCACGTGTGCCGCGGTACAGGCCCAGCACTGAACCTCCCTGGTGCCTTCGCTCCCTCCCAGGCCGAAGAGCTTATGTATGTGTGAGGAGGGAAGGGCAGGACCAGGACAGGCCGGGAGGGCGGCCCGGGGGCAGCGCCACGTCGCACCGGCAGCCGGTGGGATGGACGGACCGACGGACGAAGGACCGATCGCGGCGGCGTGTGGGGAGCTGGCGCCGAGGCTGCTCCTCCCCGTCTCGGGTGGGAGCGCTCCATCCACGTCTGCAAGTTCGCAGCGGCGGGAGGAGGAGCAGGCGGGCCGGGAAGGGCCGGCGGGCTGGCTCCTGCCTCTCCCCTTTTCTCCGCGTCTCCCTCACTCCCTCCGCTGTGAGCGCTGTGCGCTGCCCGCTCGCAGCGCTCCATGGCGGGGCCGGCGGCAGTGCGGCGGCAGGGCCGATGCTGCGGGGCGCTGCTGGTGCTGCCGGCCGTGCTGGTGAGCTGGGCCGCCTGCCAGGCGCCGCCGGTGCCCGCCGCACAGCCGCCCCCGGACGGCGCCGAGCTCCGGGTCGAGCGGCGCTTCGTGCCCGAGAGCTGCCCGCGGGCCGTGCGGCCCGGAGACTTCGTGCGCTATCACTACCTCGGCTCCTTTCCCGACGGCACCCGCTTCGACTCCAGGTCTGGCCGGCAGCACCCTCGGGCTTGGGTTCCTGCGAGGGTGCTCTCGGGGAGAGCGGGGGAGGGAGCGGCTCGGTCCCCTAAGGATGTTTCTGGGGATGGATGTTGCGGTTGAGGTTCGGTTCAGCTCATCCCGGCTGCTGCCCATGGGCACTTCTGGGGTGAGCACTTGGGAGAAGGTCAGCGGCAAGCTGTGCGGTGTGGTGCGAGCGAGAACAGAGAGCTCTCATGGGAAGGTGTCTCTGGAATGTGAAAGGGTGAAGAGCTGGGGTGTGATTGCAGGGCACTGGGGTGAGAGAGACCTCTATGGAGGCTGGGTCCGGTTCTCAGCGGTTTGCGTGCCCGGACGGATCCCCACTGCATTCTTCCAGTTGCTTCTCCAATGCATCCACCAGAACCTTTGTGCTCCAAGAGAGGAGACCGTAAGGATATTAGGTTAGCCTGGTAAACAGGAGCACATAGGGTATTGGAGGCTCTCACAGTACCCTGCCTGTTTCTTTTTGTACGTTTCGTATGTGTTCTCCGGGTTCAAACCTTCTGGAACACAGACATTTCTGAATCATTATCATTGCCAGAAATATAAGAGTTATCAGGCTGTGCTTCCATAAACGTTTTTGGATAAGTTGACCTATGTACAGTGAAGAACCTGGCTGCTTTCCTGCTGTTATTTTAGGATCAGACAGCCTAAACAGTGGGATCAGGCGCTTGTGAGGAATGTTGATGCTGCCCATGGCTTATTTGTTTTTTTTTTCCTGTTTCATTCATTACCACTGATCAGAAAGAAAAAACAAAATGTCTTTCAGTAATCCTGGTAATCTTCCTTGTGCTTCAAGGAGAAATCTACTGCCTCAGGGAAGTAACTGTCCCTCGGTGCAAGCTCAGCTCTTCCTCTGGAGCTGAAGTGGCTGGTAGTGCCCCTTCACCAGTGCTTCTGCGGGTAACATTTGGGATGCAGTAGCTGGAGTTGGTGCAGCTTCAGTGACGAGGCATAGCGAGGACAGTGAACTCATTGGCAAGTGAGACTCCTGGAGAATCATCCTGAGCTGCAGATGTGAGGACACGCACACACAGAGGCGGCATCCTCACGGCTCATTTTACAAATATGTGGCAATTGGGAAACCAGCCGTGTACTAAGAAGTGTGCTTCTGCTTTCTGCAGATACACACTGAGGCTTACGGTGGGCTGAGCTGGATCAGCACATGTCTGCGCCCAGGCAGGGTGCTTGGAGGGTCTTCCCAGGTGCTGGCTTTCATTTAAGTCCAAGTTCTTTGTCATTTGGAGCAGGAGCAGGCTGTGCAGAACTGCACAGCGTTTATCCCTTTCAGTCCTCTAAATATATCAGTAAACCAGTAACATCAGTGAGAGTCTAATCTAACTTGAGTGTCTGTATGGCCACCTTCATGTCAAGAGGGTGCAGAAAGTCAGGTTTGTTTGGCTCGTATTGCTTTCTCTCACACTGACATAAGTGTTTGTTATTCACTAAATATGGTCTATTTTTAATATCAATGGCAGTGATCTGTCATGTTAAGACAATGGAAAATGAGGAGGGGTTTATGTTCTATAGGTTAATGGAAGAAGTATTTTTGAGTATTTGTCATAAAATATTTAGTGTTCCCTGCAGACAGTCAATATATACTAAAATTGGCCTATTGAAAAGCTCATTTTTCTACTTATCTGCATTGCTACCTGTTGATTGTTTTTTTTTTTTTAAGCTCCTGAAAGTTACTGCCAGCATCAGTTTAGTCAAACACTGCTATGAAATTGGCCTAGAAAATGCTCTGGGTGTTGAGCTAAGGGTAGTTTTACTTTGTTTCTTCCTCAGCTACTGAAAATATTCTTGCAGTTTAAGACTATTTTCCTGTATTTCCAAGCAGAGGTGGTCATCCTGCTCTTCTTCCTACCAGGCTATTGACAGAGTCTTAGTTTATTCTTTATAATCGTATATTCTTTTTTATTATTATAATTTATTCTTTATGTTTATTGTGTGTCTGTTTATTTTTTTCCTCCTCATCAGTATTTGCACTTCTATTTCCCTGGCCATAAAATGATCTGCAGTTTCAAGTCTGAACTGACTTGCCCAGTCATCTGCTGTTAATTGGGGAATTTCTACTAACAGAAACTAATAATTTTGCTTATTTTTAAGGAATCTGCAGTCACTCCTGCAGAGCTGCATGATCCGTTCACTGCTTTGCCCTGTTTTCTGCTGAGCATCAATGTCTTCTTGACTGTAGGTTTATATCTGGTTTCTTAGAACCTGTTACTGGTCTTAACACCTTCATTATGTTTTTGTGTGTATAACAGGATTTGGCAGGAGCTGATTTAAATATTTTCCACCCTTGCCTGGGAATAGGGATATTTGTGCAACCAAAAGTGAGTGCTCTGTACGGTGCTCTGTATAGAGGGTTGTCTGTTCTAAGGGAAATGGTTGCCAGAAGAAAAAATGATGGAGCAAACAGAGAGGTCGCTCAGTGAGAGATACTTGAGGGATTTGACACTCTGGGACTGTTGGGAGGCTCAGTGTGTTGTGGAAGTGATGTGTATGGTCCTGGAAGGAAAGTTTGACATCATTTCCCTAGCAATATCTAGCTCCTGGCTGCTTTCCAGAGAGTTTCAGCAGAAGAGAGGCACAAGCATTTCTTTTGTATTAACTTATTTTCTTCAGGGCTGCCTTTATCTGAGAACTAAAATAAAGTCCTTTGAATTATAAAAGGAATTTGAGAAAATGGGAGCAGCAAAGACTTAAAAATAGGCATGAAGCTTTTGAAATACTTCCTGCTGTATGTTTATACATCGCTTCAGACTGTCAAATAGCAGCAGTAATTCAGGCACAGCCAAGGGGATCGTTGTGCAGAGTTAAGGTGGTCAACCAAACCATGTAAGCTGATGTTAGTGTTCTGCTGTGGCAATGCTGATGTTCTCCAGCCTCTCTGAGAAGCGATCATTTAAGCATCATTGCTTTTGTCTGTCAAAAGTTCATGTGTTATCACAGTGGAAGATCGTTTAGCTCTCTTGATTCTTGATCAGTTAAAGTTGTTGTTTAAAGCATGTCTCTATGCCTTAAGTGAGGGATGGGAATGTGGAGGAGAAAAATAAGTAACCAGCTGGAGAAAATAACCAACCACTGACCAATCTCAGAACTAGTACTCAAAAAGGCATCTTTTCTCTTTCTCTCTTCTCCCACAGGAAGTCCCCAACCATGATGTCTCAGATTATAAAGCTTGTCGAGCTGGTGTAATTTATGGTGTTACTCCCCAGGGTGGTGGAATGGTAGAAGGGTTTAGGTTGGAAGGGACCTTAGAGCCCATCCAGCTCCAACTCCTTGCCACAGGCAGGGACATCTTCCACTAGACCAGGTTGCTCAAAGCCCAGAATGAGCTGCTAATGTTTTTGCCCTCCTTTCCCCCTTTAGCTATGACAGAGGATCCACATTCAATGTGTTTGTGGGAAAAGGTCAACTTATTGCTGGGATGGACCAAGCTCTGGTCGGCATGTGCGTGAACGAGCGGCGCTTTGTGCAGATCCCCCCCAAGCTCGCCTATGGAAGTGAAGGTGTCTGTAAGTACAGCACTGGGCCAGCAGGGAGTTGATTTTGCAGGGGATTCAGAAGAGCAGATAGAGGATGGAGGCACAGAGGAGTAGAAATGGCAAGTAGTGAATTTCAGAGAGGTTTTCCCCTGCTCAGGGGTGTTTGTTAAGCCTGGCTAATCTCACCAGGCTCCCTCTGCATGCTGAAGGAAGAGCTGTTGACTCTACAGGACCTTCAGCAAATTAAGCTTGCTACCAAAGTTCACTATTTATTTATACCTGCCTTGATGTTAAATACTTACTGTGGTTTGTCATGGCAGTACTGCACAAGGTCTTGTCAGTGCCAGAATCAGCCTTGCTCTACAGACAGTCAACAAATGCTAAATCAAGATCAGTTTGCCTGATGGACATGTTTGATAACAATTCATGTTGCCAGATACCCCCTCCGTAAGCAGCTGCAACAGTGACAAGGGGCCGGAGGGGTATAGGCATTACAAGGAGAAGGGTGTATACTGTGCCTGTTTTTTTAGGATATGCATGGATTTGTTCCCTTTTTCCCCTAGAAAAAGGGAAATGAAATTGATTGTGTTGTTTTGCTTTTGCAGCTGGTGTGATACCCCCCAATGCTGTGCTCCATTTCGATGTGCTCCTGATAGATCTTTGGAACTTGGAGGATGAAGTGCAGGTTCAGACTTACTTCAAACCTGAGAAGTGTCCTCGAACAGTCCAGGTGTCTGACTTTGTACGATACCATTACAATGGAACATTCCTAGATGGGACCCTGTTTGATTCAAGGTATGCAGCTGGGCTGTGTGTCTTTGTGTATTTTAGTAGGTATCTCATGTCACTTAAACCCATAATTTCCTCCCCCTTCACTGGTATAACAACTGATGTTAATTGCTGAGAAACACAGGAAATTAAAGCTAGCATCATCTGAGTGTCAGTAACTTATTTAGGGGTTATAGGAGAGAGGTACTGACTCAAACCAGTAAAACAGTACATTATTTCTTCATGGGCATTACAAACCCAGATCACTATTTATTGCAGCCAGCTCAAAATTTCTGTAACCACTGCAGCATAGCAGTTCAAGTTAGAAACAAGCTTTATAAACTAAGCAGAGTTCATAATGAAACTGAGCTACTAAAACTTTCATGTTAAGATTTTAAGTTTGCAGCATGTGGACTTCATTGAAGTTTGGTGGAAGATAATGCTGTAATAACAGCTGCCATTAGGTTTGTGAGACATTTTCAAAACCTCTGCTAGGTTCCTGAAATAGCTAAGCACTCCCAGCCAGCCCTTGGTCAGTCAAGGAACAGTATTTTCAGAGTGGCAACTTGTGAGTTATATCATAGAATCAACAAAGTTGGAAAAGATCATCAAGTCCAACTGTTCCCCCAGCACTGCCAGGGCCACCACTAACCCATGTCACTGAGGGCCTCGTCTACATGGTGTGTGATTGCTTCCAGGGATGCCCTCCAGCACTGCCCTGGGCAGCCTGCTCCAATGCCTGAGCACCCTCTCTGTGAAGACATTGTTCCTGCTATCCAGTCTAAAACCTTCCCTGGTGCAGCGCAAGGTCACTGCTGGTACAGGCCAGGATGCTGTTGTCTTTGGCCACCGAGGCACACTGCTGGTGATACTGTGCATAGCATGGGGCTTTTAAAGGTTAATGCTGTTCTTTCCTGGGGCTGTCTAACATTTAGTCATGTTTTGTTTGTGTTTCTGTTTTCTTGTTTAGCCATAATCGGATGCGGACTTACGATACTTATGTGGGAATTGGGTGGCTGATTCCTGGTATGGACCAGGGTCTCTTGGGAATGTGTGTAGGAGAGAAGCGCATTATCACAATACCACCTTTCCTGGCATATGGAGAAGAAGGAGATGGTAAAAGTTATTATTATCTTTTAATCTAAGTAATTCATATTTTAAAACAAACTTGTATTTGTGTATTTTAACTTTATGGGCAGCATTATTACTGATTCATACTTTGTACTGATGGAACAAAGTGGTGGAGAGAGAGGTTCAAAATGTATTATATGCAGGATCGGACTGGTTAGAAAGTACAAGTAGTCTTTTTTTTTTTGATAAAATTGTAATCTTTGTATACTGAAATTTTAGTCAGAAAATATAATCTGCAAGATGGATTAATTGGCCTATGAGGCTGTATGCAGCCTGCAGGTCATACACAGAGGTGCCCATGTTAAATGAGGGGGCAGTTAAGTATAGTTTGGAACTCATCCTTAAATTCTTTCTCTGCTCAAATATTTAAGGATATGTCTGTGGATCCAAGGTTTCATACCCCTTCCATGAATTCATTACCATTAACTGTGATAGCCATCTCCGTGAATAACAAAACCTGTGTGGAGCTGGGTTTTGATCTTAATGGTTCTCAGTCAAAGCAACCCATGCTGTAATTTGTGTATTGATGGAAAGGTACTTTTTCACTGAGATACTCAGTTTACCCTTCTTCAACTCCATCATGTGGTCTCCTGTTTTGATATTAACATGATGGGAAGAATGGATGTGCCACGTATTTCTTCTAATGGTTATTTTATGCACTTTCATGGAGTGTGTTGGAAATACTGGTAGACTAAACCATACAGCTCAGATGGAGCTATATTGACTAAAGTAGGTGTTGCTGAAGAGGCTATTCTTAGTGAAGCAGTGCTATCACAGTAGGAACAGAAGGAAATAATTGAGTTGAAGAACTGAGTGACAAACCCACTGAAAATGACTGACTATAAGCAGATTATGCTGATTTATTTTGGGAGGGGAGGTGCTTGATAGTCAGCTGTTTCTTACCAGTTTTCTGCTCCAACACTTCTGTAGGTAAGGAGATACCTGGCCAAGCTTCCCTTGTCTTTGATGTGGTTTTGCTAGACCTCCATAACCCCAAAGATGGCATTGCTATTGAGAACCAGCAGGTGCCTGAGTCTTGCGAGCGGAGGAGCCAGGCAGGAGACTTCCTCCGGTACCATTACAATGGCACACTCTTGGATGGCACACTGTTTGATTCCAGGTAACCAGATGGTTCAGCCCTTCAGATCCCATTTGCAATTTAACTTGTCTGTTTTGTCCATAACATATCCAGTTATTTGCTTTTCCTTCGTTTTTGCAATTATTAAGTGGATTTGGAGTCTTCTTAAAAGCCTCAAAGAAAACTTTCAATATGGGAAGGAAGACAAAGACCTCTTTGTGTTATGACAGTATCACAAACGCCATCTAGGGGTGGTGATCCACCTCGTGAAGCTATGTATGCTTCAGACACGTGCCTGAAGACTCTTTGCCCCATAGAGCTTATTTGCCACATAGGTGATACTACTGAAGAGAGAACAGATCAGTGATTCCCACTGAATCTCAAGAAGCTCTTTCCAGTTGCGCTTGAAAACTGCATTTTGAAGGCTGATTTCTTTCAGGACTGAACTCAGTGATGGGGTTTCTGTGGTAAAGGAAGAGGGATTGCTGTTGTGTCAAATTTAAAGCTCTGTGGGCATGTGAGACTCGTGTACAGGATTATATGATGAGTAAGAAATACCCTTGTAGCTTCCTGCCACTTTTGTTTGCTCTTCAATGAGCAGTACTTTACTTTCCACTCTAGCTTTCAGAACAGTTGGCACAAGTAGCCAAAAAGAGTTGAAGATGAGCCATTGTAAAATGTTTTAAAAAATAAACTCATGGAAGGGTGTTTAGTACTGCTACAGCTGCTGTGTTTTTTCCTTCTGCAATAGTGAGCTGCAGAACTGCCCCATGGCAGCTCAGCCACGGCTGTCTGGACTCAGAGGAGTTGAACTACATCAGGGTCTGTCCTGATCTTGCTGTTCTTCAGAGTTACCTTGTAAAGATGAATTGAAACCTTTCTACCTTCCTTTCCTTGGGCTGTGCCTTCATGTAGCATGCCTTGAGGAAAGGCAGAAGACAGGCACATCCTTGTAATAGACCTCATTTGTTGTCATGGGCTTGTTTTATTTCTGTCATTAGGTGTTGAAGCAGATCCTTCAGCCTACGCAGAAGTGATTGGCATAGTGGGAAGGGAGGGATAGTATTGATAGTGTTTTGTTGGTGTGACTCATTTTAATCATGTGCATCCCACCTTCTTGTAGTAGTTGTACTACGTAGCCGTGGTTGCAAAATGAGATAGTCTGAAGAGTGTCTTGTGAAAATGAACATAAACTACATCTAGTTGATAGCATTTACTAAAGTAGAGTCAGGGCAGAGGAAAACTTAAAGAAAAAAGCTGATTTTTTTCAGTTACTTATCAAAACATGGTTTAATCTAAAATACAGAAATAAGTGAGATTTTCTTTCCAGGTATGGTAGGAATGTGTTTGCAGATAAGCTGTATCCTAGCCAGGGTCCCAGTGCCAGTTAGTGAGTGATGCACACGTCACTGACTGATGAAACCTGGTGGCCTACATTCATTGAACATGGTGATTGCATTGTGCTTCTTAGGTGCTAATTAATGACCTGAACTGCTTTCAGAATTGTATTGCAAATCTGCTGCAAGGTTCTGTGTTTGCTGGAGCACACCTGACACTGCTAACATGCATTTCCCCTAGCTACTCGCGGAATCGCACGTATGACACCTATGTTGGGCAAGGTTATGTCATTGCTGGAATGGATGAAGGTTTGCTTGGTGTGTGCACTGGTGAAAAAAGGAGAATAATCATCCCCCCTCACCTTGGATATGGAGAAGAAGGAAGAGGTGAGCTTCACTTTTCATTTGAGGCTTCTGTAATTAATGATGTTTCCTTTCTTGTTGAGTGCATTTGTATGTAGTTCCCCTTTTTTTGGCATTTAAAGACTGTTGTTATTTTGTGGGCATAGAGCTGACAGGATTACACCCACGATTTGCAGAATGAGTTTAATTAACTAATAGGACAGGAAGAATGCGGAACAGCCTCACATGTCATTGGTGACCTGAACTCATTTGGATGATGGGTGGCTCAGACAGACTGGCACTTAGGTGCCAGGAGCTCTGCAGGGTGAGATCTTCCTTCCTTCCTTCCTGAATGTCTGCAAAAGCTCTGTGTGCTGAAGGAATTCATTGTGGCTTCTTCGCCATCCTTTCCACCAACACAGGTTTTGTGGATTCCTAAACCTGTAAAGGGTGGATGAATGTAACGGTGAAGTGTGTGTGTAACATGCAATTAACATCCCTTTGGGAAAAGTCATTAGTACCCACAAAGATTGGTGTGAGAGGTTGAAGGTAGTAACCCTTCACACTGATCACAGACCTAAGGCTGGTGTTTCAAAAGGTACCTCCTGGGATGTTACTTGGGAAAAGTGACTTAGAAAAAAGGCCTCTCCTTTGGGACTGCAAATTCTATGCCATTGATTTGGGAATCAGACTCCTTTACCAACAATTCCCGTTCCTGGATCAGTATGTGTCTTGTTAGTCCTGGTAATGCAGTTGCACATTGTCCTGGGAGGAGGAAGAAGTTGCTTTGCTGTCAGGATGTTATAAGGAAACATCACCTTTTAGACATTATGGCATTCCTTGAAGTATGTGAAGTCCTACGGGAATTTTGATGCTCAGTAATGAATTGGTACATGAAACACAAATCAGTTATTTGGGACGGTCACAGGAAATACCTGGTTGTTGCTTCATATCAGTGTATTTTTCAAATTCAGAGTAATGCATTTTTTTTCCTTCACCGTTGAACTGAGGTTTTAGTGCTTTTCCACTGCTTCTCCTTCACTGGATACAGCTTGCATTAGTTGCACACAGAGGAGAAATAATCCTTTAATTCTGAATGAGAAGAGCAAAATTACTTGGTAGCAAGCGTAGTGGGAATACATATTCCTGTGGGATGCAGAACCTGGCCATCATAAGCCTGTTTGGGTACCATTTCTTTCTGTACTTGCCTGATTTTATTCCTATTTAGGGAAGATTCCAGGATCTGCAGTGCTGGTCTTTGACATCCATGTGGTTGACTTCCACAACCCCTCAGATTCAGTCAGCATTACTGTGAACTATAAACCTTCCAACTGCACCGTTCTGAGTAAGAAAGGGGATTACTTGAAGTATCACTACAATGCTTCACTCCTGGATGGTACTTTGCTAGACTCAACGTAAGTATATCCCTGGCAGCTGGTTGAGGGCCTGGAGCACAAGTGTGATGAGGAGCGGCTGAGGGACCTGAGGGGTTTAGTCTGGAGAAGAGAAGGCTCAGGGGGGGACCCTATCACTCTCAACTGCTTGACAGAAGGATGGTGCCAGGAGCGGGCTGGTCTCTGCTCCCAAGAAACTAGTGACAGGACAAGAGGAAATGGCCTCAAGCTGCACCAGGGGAGGTTTAGATGGAGATTAGAAATAATTCTTTCCCCAAAGGGTGCTCAGGCATTGGAACAGGCTGCCCAGGGCAGTGCTGGAGTCACCATCCCTGGAAGAGTTCACACATGATAAGGCCCTCAGTGCCATGGGTTAGTGGTGGCCTTAGCAGTGCTGTGGAATGGTTGGACTTGATCATATAAAGGCCTTTTCCAACCCCATTGATTCTATGATTATATGATTCTATAGCATAATGAGAGAACTGGGAACAAAGAAGGTGTAGGAGTGTGTTGGAGAAGAATATAGACACTACAAGTGGAGTGATGAAGGAGGTTGTCTGTGTGGCAGTTCAGGTGCCTGGGCCAGTCCTACTAGAGTGACATTGATTTCAGTGTGAATGAACTGCCTGAGTGTGTTCAGTTTCTTGGGCAGGTTTTGCTCTCTGTGTGGGTTCAGTGCTCCCAAGAGAGGTCTGATAGGTGCATATGGTATAGGGCTTGTTAAAGCTGTCTTGAGTGTGGTATACAGTCAGTGGTCACCAATCACATTTGGAGCACACTTGGGTGCTAGTTTTCCTTTATTGTAGTGTTGTGGTGTCAGCATGGAGAAACTGTCAGAGAGCCTGATTGCGATGGTAATGATCATTTCCTCCTTCCTGTTAACAGTAGGTTCATGAGGGAAGTAAGAGACTGCTCCAGTCTGTCTCATATAGAACTGAAGTGAGCCCATGGCACTGGTTGCTGCAGCTACAAGAATGCTTCTGCTACTTTTTTTTCCCCACCTTCATCTTTTGGGTAGCGCAAGTGATCGTTATTTAGGTTGGAAGATTTGTTTTTGGAAGGGAAGTTGGGAAAAGCTATTCTTAAACAGGTTATAATTAATATAGGAAGCAGTTTGTAGTTTTCACAGTGTACACCATAGCTTGCAGAGCTGAAAAGCTGGCTGACATTGAAGCTCTTAATGTGATGCTGTAGGCGAGTATGTATGCAAGAAATGTGTTTGGAATCAAAACACCTTTTATATGGCAGGAATGCTCATTTTGTAGCAGGAAGTAAGGGATGTGGAGACTGTCTTATTCTAAGCAGTTTGTAGAGAACCAAAGATCATGTATCTTATGCTCCTAATTTTAAGGCTGACCTCAAAACCACTGAATTGTTTTCTTTCCAAATAAACCAGAATATTCTGTGGTGGTACTGCCAGGCCAGATAACCAAAGGAGACCAACAGGAGAAAGGGTCATAGAATCGTAGAGTCACAGAATAGTTTGGGTTGGAAGGTTGAAGGCTCATCCAGTTCTAACCCCCTGCCATTAGAGCAGGTTGCTCCAAGCCCCGTCCAACCTGGCCTTGAGCACTGCCAGGAATGGGGCAGCCACAGCTTCTCTGGGCAACCTGTGCCAGCACCTCACCACCCTCACAGGGAAGAGCTTCTGCCTAATGTCTAACCTAAATCTAGGTTCTGCTGTTGTGACATGTACCACGTAAAAAGTCTTAACATTGCAGGCTCTGCTTTTAGAATCACTTTAACTTGTGATGATTTCTAATTTTAGAAACAAGCCACCAGCAGCAAGGTAAAATTCAAAATATAATGTGGTTAAATAGCAGTAGTAGTATGTGAGATACTTCCATGTTGTGTTGGTTCAGTGACTGCTGTGCTGTAGTGGCTGATTTTATTACAGGGCTGGCTGATCCATGTGAATGCACCCTGATCCTCATGGGCTGGTAGTTCTGGGACAAATATAGCTCTGGAATATGGATATCTGCTAAAAAAGCCAACTTCATTAGTTAAAAATATGTGAAAGGCAAAAGCCTTGTTTTGAGATAAAATACCTTGGGGGTTTAGTTGGCGGGATTAATGATTTTAATTGGGTTTCATTTAAGAAGCCTATCATTTTAGTATCAGAGGACCTGTCAGCAGTAGGGACGCTTCTGTTTGGTGTTGGCCATAACTTGCTACCTTGGGAACAACTTCAGGTAACTGCTTGGTAGAACAGAGCACTGGGCATGTAGTTAATTTTTGGTAATGGCAGGACACTAACTAGAAACTGCTATTTCTGTGGTAATTTGGAACAACAGAAATCCTCTACTGTATGTTGAGGGCTTCTATAATTCTTCTTCTTCTTCCCTTCCTCTCCAGACACAGCCTCGGCAAGACCTACAACATAGTTCTGGGATCTGGGCAGGTGGTGGTGGGGATGGACATGGGTCTGCAAGACATGTGTGTTGGGGAGCGCCGAACTGTTGTTATTCCACCTCATCTTGGGTATGGAGAAGATGGAGTTGGTAAGTGAGTGAATCCTAATGCACATCCACTTAGCATCTCTTGAGTAACTGAAACACAAGTACACAAGGTTTGTTATTTGCTGTGCTTTAGGGTGAGCTCCTTAATGGGATTTTTTTAAGAGGTTTTTCATGTCATTGCGTTAGGATTCCCCCCCCCTTCGTGAATGAAATGAACATACTGTCTGTGCTGTGTTTTAAGTCACTGTTCCTGTGGTCCATAGCCCATCCCAGTACAAAAGGGAACACGCGCCCCAGTAATGTTGCTCTGTTATAGTATGATCCAGGAACTCTGTTGCAGAAGGAGGTAGACAGTTGCTCTCTGTGATGGGGAATTGGATACTCATGCCTGGACATGCCACATGTTATCCGGGAAACAAAACTGAAGGGGCCTGTTCCGCACTGATATGATAAAAAATTCAAAGAAAAACTCAAACCTCAAGAAACTACGTTAAGTCAAATGTGAGATGTGAAATGGGATCAGTGCTGTTGAAACACCAACACCAACATGTTTAAGGCAGTTTGCTCTGGTTTAGAGCATTGAAGCCGATCCATGTTTTAATGACAGGGCCAACAGTGATAAAAAGAACAATACAGAAGTGACAAGAACTTTCATATCCCAAGATGTGTGGTTGCTACTGGTCCTCTGAGTTAAAAGACTTGAGGAAGAGGAGTCAGGAGATCACCAACAAACTCTCATGTGTATGGAAACAATTGCAGAAGTTGCTGTGTTCTCAGAATAGCTCCAGAAGAGTTTGTGTTTTATAAAGACTGTCAGGCATTATGTGCCAGGCTTAATGGAGAATTAATTTGTGATAAGAAATAAGGAAGCATTTTCACTTGTACCTGTCTTCCATGGAAAAGTATGAGTATTATATATATTATTACATAAAATTGCGTAGTTCTATGTAATAAATTGAAAGTCTCATAAGAAGCCTGCTGTGTTAAATACCTGTCACAGGTATTTGCCATCATTCAGATTACATTTGCTACCCATGGTCTGAATCGCTGGATGGTTGCTAGTGCCTTGGTGAGTACACAGGTACCTGAAGAGATTTGCTTGTTTGTTACTGGGCAGAAGTTAGAGATGACCTCCATTTTCTTTATCAAGAATAAATCAAACTCCTTCCTTCCATGGTTTCAGCGTCTCAAGCTGCTGCAGCACTCCTGAGTGTCAGTTAGCACCTCAATACACAGTGTATGGGGGAGATAAAATGTTTTATACAGTTTTATAAGTAAAAACAAACAAAAAAAAGGATGCAGTTTTATTCTGAAAGCTTCCTTCATGTCTTGGTCACCTCTGCTGAAGTGAACAGGAAGATTGGGTGGTTTGGGATCACGGGGTTTGGGGGTTGCAGTAGAGAAGGTGCTGTTGGAGGAGGAAGAGAAATTTAGTTATGGATTGAAAGGATATACATCCTTCAGTGTAAGAGAGGATCATGCCCCTCTGCCATTTGTTGTGACAGAAGGAGAAGTGCCGGGTAGTGCTGTACTGGTTTTTGACATCGAACTGCTGGAGCTGGTGTCTGGCTTGCCCGAAGGGTACATGTTTGTGTGGAATGGGGAAGTCTCTCCTAATCTGTTTGAAGAAATAGACCAGAATCACGATGGAGAGGTTCTTTTGGAGGAGGTAAGCTGAAACAATGAGAACACCTGCAGTGATTTTCTCCTACTACCATCATCAGGGTGCTTTCTTCTAACACCATCACTGCAGATGTTGAAGAATGGGATCTCTCCTCTTCCACTCCTCTTCCCCTCTTCTTTGACATGGTGTTTGTTGTCAACAGGAAGGCAACATGTCAATTAAAATGTGGTTATTTAGCCTTAGAGATGGAACCAAAAAGAAGTAATGTAAGAATGGCTAAGAAAGGAATTGTATTTTTTTAGTTTCTTCGTAACTCTTTCTTTTCACCTTTCTCTGTCATTCTGTTCCGTGTCCTTCCTCGCTGGAGTACTGTTGCCAGCAGCACTCAAAGGGTGGGCTGGGGCCCTATGGAACAGCAGGAGATGCTTTTGAGCGTTTTAACAAGCCAATGGGGTAAAACCAGAGTCTCATTTTCCCTTCCCCTAGCACTCTTTTCCACCTCTTTCTTTTCCTTCCTTCTCCATCTTCTCTTGTGTTTACCTCCACTTTTGCTCTTGCCTAATAGAAAAGTGCTTTCAGCACCCTAGGGAATGAATGGTGTTGGATGTGACTGTTGCTGGCACATCCTTCTGGTCACCTAGCAAGGAGGAGAGGGAAAAGCTGAGGAGGTAGAAGTGCTTGACCTGGGAGGTGTAAGTTAATGTCAGGAGTAGCATTTCTTGCTGAAGCTTATTTAACAAGAGGTGCCAGAGCTCACAGGAGTTGAAGTTGTGTTTGACTGTGGACTTCTTGTCTTTGGCAAGCCAGCAGTAAGGCTTCTGTCAGATGTTGTCTCATCACATTGAATAACTTCATCATACATATCAGGAAAAGGACTTTAAGGGAAAACTAACCTTGGAACCTTTCTTACTATGGAGGCAAGCCAGAGGCATAATGCCTGAAGAGACTTTAGCAAATCTCATGGTATTCTGATACTCAAAGTCTCATTTCCTTGTTTCACTCTTTTTTCATTATGTGTGGTTTCTTGTAAGATGCAGGCAGATGTTTCTTTTACAGTGTGAGCTGCTTGCATTGGCCTGTGAAATTAACCCACCCCGTCCATGTTCTGTGTCACTCTCTGTTCAACTCATTTTCCCCTTAAATTATGAAAAATAGCTTTTCTTGTTAGGGGTCCAGGACCCACTGGAGTAAGTGAGGAAATCCACAAAGAGCAATTTAACCTCACGTGTCTGTCCAGATTAGTCCAGTTTAGGTTGTTAGCATTATGTGTGTGTACTTTTACATACACTTAGTAAAATGCTAACAGTCAACAGCAGGTAAGTGCTGCTTTTGTAAATACTCTTTCAGTTTTAAATGCCTGTCTCACTGTGAGCTGTTTTCTCCCCCTTTCTCTCCACACAGTTTTCAGAGTACATACAAGCTCAGGTCGATTCGGGTAAAGGAAAACTAGCTCCTGGGTTTGATTTTGAAAAGATTGTGAAAAACATGTTCACCAATCAAGACCGGGATGGAAATGGTAAAGTTACTGCTGAAGAATTCAAGTTGAAGGACCAGGAGGCCAAAGAAGGACATGATGAACTGTAAAGAACCAAAAAGCAAAGAAGTCCTGAACTGAGCTACTGTTTGAACGTGCGTACTGAAAGAGGTTTGGGCGGGCATGTTTCTGAAAGGTCAGCACTCAGCCAGCCTGCGTCTGTCCACTGTGCTGGCAGGCTGCTACATGGGAAGAGGGTTTGCAGTTGGAATCATTAGGTCTATTTGAAGAAAGTGTTCAGTGCCTCAAGTTAGGATGTGCCAACAGATAGAGTATACAGCTGGACCTGAGCCACAGGGCCTGGCTTTATGCTGAAGATTAGATGTTCTCATTGAACAACACACAGGGGGGATGGGTGAATCATTTGGGATGGATGGGCTGATGAATGGATGCATGGGTGGGTGGTAGGGAAAAAACTTACCGAGTGCTTTTAAAAGAATTTCAAGATACCTTCTGTACGTGAAATATTTGTGCAGGAAAATGAACCAGCAAACATTTCCCATGAAAATAACCTGTAAAATGGGCAGCAGTTGAGCCCAGCTCTTTTCAGAATGCATGAGCTCTCTTCCCAGTAGCTGAACAGACTCCCAGGACTATTTGCCATCTGACATGCGAATTGCAGAGCATGCAGCTGCTAGCTATGCCATTGCAGAATTCCGTAAGCTGTGAATTAAATTAAACAGGCCTAGAATTGTACCCATGTGTGTGCTGGGTTTTCACCTGATGGAGTAAAAGTCTGCTACCAGCTGCCTTGTAGTTCATTAATAACCTTGACTCTAGCTGGCCTGTTCAAACAGTTCCCCACAGCGATGCCCACACCTCCCTGGCTGCAACCTTATTTATAGTTTTGTTAGACTTCAGATATTAGTATTCCGGGGTCCAAATACTGTCATAAATACGGGACACAACTGATGTTGTGTTGAGCATCTGTCCCCTGTATTGGGAATGGTTAGAGTGAGGAGGAAGGACTTGGAGCAGAGCAGTCTGGCATGGCAAACACCCAAAATGACAGTGACACAATCAAGGAACAGAACTCTGAGTCTGCAAAGGTTCTGGCCTATCCCTCCATACCGGATCAGCCCTAGGAGTGCAGCTGGAATGGGGTGTACTCGAGACACGGACCCATTAGGTCTGTAGACATGGCAGGCTGTTGAGTAGGAAACATAGACCCCCTTAGTATGATTCCCCCTCAGTACACTGCATGTAAAGAGCACAAACACACATCTGATGAGACACTGTTGAGGACAAGGAGAAGGGGAGTTGTGTTCCATTATCTGCTTTGTGTCTAGTTTCTTGCTTTTCTTGATCTGTATGTGTGGGTTGGGAGCTCCCCGAGACCTGCTTTTTAAAACCTGGTATTTCAATTGGATGAAAACATTTTGTATTGGGGTTTTTAATACAGTTGTTATAGAAGGAGCAGTGAAATATTTTGTTTTGATACCATTAAATGTCGGGTTACTGATCTTTTTGTTAAATAAAATGTTGATGAATTATTACTGCTAACATTTCTTTGTTTTCTTTTTCCCCCCGTTTTGGGAGCTTGAGAGGAAGCAGGACCCCTTGGTGCAGCACTCTCCTCCTGCACACCGCAGGCTTAACCTGAGTATGGGCAATACTGCTATTAGTCTTCAGGAAAAATGCTTTAAACTAGGATTATAAGGAACAACGTTTCATTCCTCAGGTTAGTGAAAGCAACCTCCCTGGGCATTGTGTCTGAGGTTTGGTGCTCTCCCTGTGCAGCCTGTTCCAATGCTTGAGCACCCTTTGGGGGGAAGGAATTGCTCCTCATCTCCATGTAAACCTCCCCGCTGGTGCAGCTTTGATGCCGTTTCCTCTTGTCCTGTCCCTTGTTCCTTGGGAGCAGAGAGCAGCCCCCTCCTGGCTCCATCCTCCTGTCAGGTAGCTGTAGAGAGTGGTAAGATCCCCTCAGCCTTCCCCCCTGAGCCTTCTCTTCTCCAGACTGAACCCCCCAGGTACCTCAGCTGTTCCACATCACACTTGTGCTCCAGGCCCTGCACCAACTCCGTTGCCCTTCTCTGGCCCTGCTCCAGCACCTCAGTAACTCTTGATGATAACTCTTGTCATGTCATTAATAGCCATATGAAAAGTGATGTCAAAGGAAGGAGAGACTCCAGCAATCAGCTGCTGCTCCTGTAACGCAGCAGCCAGGTTCCCAGCCTGGGCACCTGATTCCCATTAAGTAGCCAGCTGATGAAAGGCAGCTGCCCGTAGTCAAAGGTGGAGGTTGGTTGTGGAGTTATTAGAGGCTTACTAGGAAGGGGACATGGGTGCACATCCAGAGAAATTCAGGTATTTATATTGTGTGTTTTTCTTGTCCTAACTGGACAGAGGTGCTTTCTGCTGTGTAACTGATTAGGAGGAAACTGTAAACCTGTAGAGGTCCCCAGTACTTGATCTTGGACATGTGCTAGAGACAGAACAGATACTGTGAGTAGAGTCAAAAAACTTATAAATTCACTTAACTTTGTTGCTTATTCCTTGCTTTAAACTTTAAATAAGACTCTTTTGGCTCCAACAGAATGATCTGGGAAATGTATGATACCTTTCTTTCTAAGTTGAATCATACGTTAAATACACTTTCAGTGTTGCAAAATGTTTCTGATTAGAAACTTGACTTGGAAAGACATTTTGTGAATAATACCTCTTTCCCAAAACTAAATGTAGAATCTGGTTAGCAATTAGAGGGACTGGACTTTCTGGAAGAGCTGCGGTGATGATGCTGTTTGTAGTTAATTTTGCTTATGATTTTGGAAGGCAGTGTGAATTGAATGTATCAGTTCTTATTTCTAGCCAATAGATGTGTAACAAAAAGATGGGATTTAGAAAAAGTGGAGGGTATCTGAAAATGCATCTTATGTTTTCCACTGGTTACCATATAATCAAGAGCTATGGTTGGCAGTGGGATGATGAAAGGATGTTGATAAACTGTACAGTACTATGTAGGTTTTTTAAACTGGACTTCCTGATTCAGGTTGGTTGTGTTGGTGCCTATTCTCTCAAAAAAGCTGCATGTATGCTATCTCAAGAAGTAAATTATTTTGTGTACAGATCCCCTTTGAACAGGAAATGGGCTCTATCAGATGACTGAAATATGGCTCAGTTGCTCCTATGACCTAGAAAAGGTTTGCTGTTCTGGCAGACCCCTAATGCAGAGTCTGAGACTGACAGGATTTAATGGCTGAAGGTGAAAACCCTGCAGGAGGTCTGAGCTTTCCTAGTGGGAGGGTGAGAATCCTTTTCTTTCAGTGATTGTCAGTGTGGACTGATGTTTGGAGACTGACCATTCATTGTCCTACTTGGAGGTGAGATTGGAAAATCTTCCTTACATAATGCATGGGACACGGTTGATCTGAAATCCTCTATCAAGGCAAGGAGTTTAAAGTATCCCTGTAGTCGGGAAACCATCAAGTGATCCCTTCTGATACACTTGGGTTCTGGGCAGGCTGAATAGTCATTTCAGTAGCTCTGATTAAGATGTGGTTGGAGATCTGCTTGGGTAACTGCTTTTAAAGATGTTGCCCAATGCTTTTCCATATTGCTCTGTCTGTGCTATTGTGTATGGTTTGGTTGGTTGTTTTTCTTCCCCCCCCCCCCCCCCCCCCCCCCAGTTATGGGTGAGTTGTACAATGAGATCCTCATCATGCTGAAGGAGTGATGGTTTGGGATGGGTGAGCCTGAGGAAGAATCCTGGCAGGAGGACCAGTGAGTTTATGTGAAATCCTGAGGCAGGACAGTCCTGCCCACCAGAGACCAGTCTCACACCTTCTCACTGATGGTCTGGGGGGTGAGGGAACTCTGTTACACTTGTAGCCAGAATGATCTTGTGCCAGAGAGTGTGTTACTGCCAGATCTTGTGCCGTGGAGCTGTGGCTATCAGCTACTTCTCACATGCTCTACATTTTAACTGTTATCTGTATTCCAAAGGTAACCCACCTGTAAACGGAAAACTTTGTCCCAGTGTAGACTTTGGGGGTAATGCATGGTAATTAGCCCCTTGCAAGCAGAGACTGGTTGAGTAAGCAGTGCATCCTGGCTCCGTGGTGTTTGTGAGAAGGCCTTTGCCTTTTGGACTTCTATTTGGCAGCTCTGACAAAGAGCCAGCATGACTGCTTGTTTAAAACCCAGAACCACCAACTCTCCCCCTGCTCAAACCTTGATGTTAGCTCAGCTAACAAGTTTTGTAGGTGCCTGTAACCAAAATGTAGACTGCTAAAGGCAGAAGATGACTGTGCAGAAGGCTGCTCCTTCCTTCCCTTCCTGTTTTCCAGTATAACCATCCAGACCCTCCTTGGATGGTTGTACTGTGACTTGCTCCTGTCAGTCACACATAAGCTGCAGCACTTGGTTCTGTGTGTTTGTGTGTACCAGTGATCAGCAGCTCTCTCAGTGCCACTGACTCAGCAGCTCTCACTGCTTTCAAGCTCTCCCTGTTCTGGCTTTGGCTGACAGGCTCTTGGCAGGTCAGGGCTGAGGCAGCTACTGCTGCTGCCGTGGTCTTCTGTCACTGGCATGACCAGGGTGCTTCCAGCTCTTCAGTGTCCGGCTGCCTGAGTCATGGCTCTAAAGGGAAGGCAGCCAGGACACTGTCCTCGCCTTGGTTGTCTTACGGTTCAAGTGGTTTTCTGCACAAATGGATGGCTTCTAAGGTCCCACTTGTGGGGATCTGGCTGCCCCTGTGCCACGAGTAAGGAATTACATGACTGTAGGTTGCATACAAGGAGGACATCACCTCTCAAGCAGTCTCTGCCTGTGACAATGCATGCCTCTGCCATGCATTTGGAATATGTGGATGGTTAAATTTCAGTTCACTGCAGAGACAGAGGTGGGGTAAAGAAACTACCCCCATCTTGCCTCCTTGGAAAAGTTCCAGTGGCTGTAACAGATGTCAGTCTGTTGATTGGGACTGAATGTGGCTGGTGCTACCATGTCAGAATTTAGATAACAGACCACAAGTTGGAGAGAAAGAGGCTGTTTAGTAAGAGGTCTATTACTTGGTGGTGGGAGAGTATGCTCATCTAGGCTCTCCTGTATATGTATTCCTTAAGGAATGGAAGATGGCACAGATCCTGCTGTGTATAAAAGCAAGCAAAGGGGAACAATGACCATATTGCATGTTAGGGAAGTTACATGACTGCCTCTATATTATTAATGAATAGAGCTAATACAGCCAAGACCTCTTTAGGACCAGGGTAACAATACCACCTTTAACTTCTGCAACAGATCAGAGTAAGCTTCTGAAGCTGTGGCTATATTAAGCTGTATCATTCTGTACATGATGCTGGGAGGTACAGTCATGCGTTCAGTACAGGGGACACACTTCCTGAAGGAGTATTTTACGAGGGTGA